CTCCAGCGTAAGAGCAATGGCCTCCAACAAACTAGCGATGGCCTCCACCTAATGCCCGGTTTGTTGTTGATGCTGATGTTTCTCGTGCTTGGCTTTTTGCTGCAGCTGCTGTTGCTGCTTTATTGCTGCCTTTGTTGGTGATGATGTTGCAGTTGCTGTCGTCGTCAGCATCTCGTATCAGCTATATCATCATTCCTTCGTCCTTCCTTTCCTTGTCCTTGTTGCTGCTAGAAAGCGCTTGGATTTGGCTTTGCACTTTGGTTCACTATCCATTTGAGTGCTGTCACTTTGAAGTGCGTGGCACATGTGTGGTGTTTACATGCAGATCTGAGATGAGTGTGTACGAGCACGGTGGTTCTTCATCAACTAACTCCAACATGGCAAAGTTTCAATTGGTTTCCCCTTTGTAACAGCACTGTAATATGTGCCATGTGCCTGCGTACTCGGCTTGTTGCATCTCCCTTCCGCTCAATACCTTGAATCATTGAGAGTGAGCAAATTTGTTCATCACCAAATGTGGTCAAGTTTGTTTGCCAGGCCCTTGGAATCTGCCGAGTCTGCAAGCGCAATGGAGGCAGGAAGAGGAAGGAAAGAGAAAGTGGAATGAGATGAAGCATACTGAAGTACCGTCAGAGATAAGCCAGGCGAAATGCGCGATTCATGTCAAACTCACAGTTTTTTGTTGCAAGTTCGCACACCTACATTTACTTCAATTTGATGTGGCCAATATTCTCATTAGCTCATGTGCGACCCTCCAGCGGAATGCGGTCTTTCAAGGATGAGGCGAAGGAACCTGCGCCCGAACCATGGGGAGATGCCCCCGCTGCTACCGAGGCCAGAACAATAAACCCGTGACTGTTGCGGTCCTTGAGCTGCATTTTCGGGAACTGTTTTTTTCCTCAGCCGGTGTAGGACAGATCAGCAAGGGAATTCCTGCTGAAAGAAAGCATTGTTTGTTCGTAGTTAGAGTGATAGTCAGAGTCATAGTAGTCGTAGTAACGTAGTGGTTGTTGTAATCGTGACAGTCATAGCAGTTGTAGTAGTGGTAGTGGTGATAGTAGAAAAAGTGAGGAGTGGTTATGTACAAAGCCTCACGCGAGCAAAGTAGCATTGAGATGTGCTTGTAGTTTTTCTTCTGGTTTGGTATCAACCTGCAGATGCCATAGTCATGCCAGTTGTTCAAAGAAATTGTGTGATCCTTTCCGAGTCTGTGAATAGAGGTGTGAACACCTGAAGGCTTTTGTTCTCAAGTGAAGGAAAAAGGCCCGCTTGTGATCCTTTCAAGGGTTATGAGCCCAAAGCGTTTTTTCGGCGTCTGACTTCGCCATGGAAAGGGCACGTTCATTGCCCCCAGGGTCCTACGACATGGTAAATCCCTGGTGGTCCCAACGAATTCGGGACGAGGTTGAGCTTCGAAGCAAACGGCCGGAAACTCTGCCGGCGGTTCCCTGCGATGGCGACGAGGATCTGGAAGGGCCGGTGGAAGGTCCGGAGGCAGTGCCGCTTGAAGGCACGGGTGGTCGGATTGGCAAAGGCCGCGGTTCAGCGGCTGAGCGCCTGTCAGGACGTGGTTTCGTGACACCTCCGAGCCATAGCCATGGCCACAGATCGGAAGGTCGCGGTGGTGGGGGAGCTCGCCAAACTGAAGGTCGAATGCCGGAGGAGGGTCAGCCAGGACAAAAGGTTGCTCGTCGGCCAGATCGTTCCATGGGGCCGGTGCCGCCTGAGGAATCGCCCCCTGCGGTCAAGCTCACTGGAACTAGTGAGGTGGCTCAGAAGGACCCTGAAAGTCTTCAACGAGCTTTTGAAGCAGAACTGGTGCTATTTTTGAGGGAGCAAAATAGTCATCTTCAAGCTGAAGTGGAGCGCCTTAGAAGCCTCCAACAGCAGCAACCCATGGGTACTATGTCCACTCCCTCGTCGTGGGAAACGGTCGATGGGGGAACAGGTGATGGGCTTCGCGGTGACGGTGCTCATGAACATGTCCATGGTGGTGTGGGCCCCTCTGGTCATGATGATCGTTTGACTGGTGGTGTTTCCAATAGGGTTCATGGTGGGGAAGTTTCGCTTAGCACTCCACGGGGGAGAAGTCCTACTACACGAAGGCCTCCTTCTGGACACCATGTTCGGTACACCCCCAACGGAACGCAAAATTCCGTGTGGACCTCCACCGCCTGAAGTGACTGCACCACCTGTACCGCCGTTCCCAACTAGTGTCTCGGCAGAAATTCAGAGTGCCTCGGCTGGATTTATGTTCCAGGACTATGAGTCGCTGGAAATGAAGCGGCGACAGGACTCTCAGTGGGTGCCGCTGCATTTGCGTGAAGGCAAGTCATTTGTGCCTTTCGCTCCTCCAGAACCTCGAGCTGAACATTTGGAGCGCATGCGAGAAGGGGCCAGCTGGGCGCAGTCAGCAGCTTGCTCGAAAGATGTGCCTCCCACTTCGTCTCATGAAGCTGGCTTTCATCGTGGCTCGGAGTGCCAGGGTTATGGTTGGGGTTCCGACCGTCGGCCTGGGGTGGATCGTGTTTTTGATCGTTTTTCCCCTGGTGCAGTTGGGGATAGTCACTATGGGAATCGAAAACCCAGTCCGGAGCTTCGAGAGCGGGGTGAGCCGCACTATGGTCGTTGGCCGGGTGATGGTGGCACTTCACCAATGCCTTTGCCGTGGGGCGAAGGCGGTGGCAACAGCAAGGCAGAGCTCGCTGAGTTGGCAGCTGATGCATCGCCTTTGGAGCTCGGTGACTGGCTTGCAGTCAATGGACCCGTGCTTCGGGACCTTTCGTCGGTCAGTGCTCGATGGTGGAATTTGACCCTGCGTGAAGCTCAGTGTTTTTATGATCGCTGGAAGACTTCGTCTCCGCTGGAAAGAGTTCAGATTGCACCTCGCCTTCCCGACGAGTTGTATGATAGCTGCTACCAGCGAACAGAGCAGCGAGGAGTGAACTTGCTGTTGCGGGCCATCCCTGCCGACCAGCAACAGGCCTTGATCACGGCCAGAGAGCTGAATTCCACAGCCCTTTTGTTTCGCCTCATGGTCCGCTACCAACCGGGCGGCTCTGGGGAGAAGGCGATTCTTTTGGCCAAGTTGACAACGCTGGACAAGGCAACAGGAGCCACTGATTTGGCTGCATCTCTCCGCTCTTGGCATCGTCATTTTGCCAGGGCTCAAGAGATTGAAGCGGCGCTGCCGGACGGTACATTGTTGTTGAAGGCCTTAGAGCCTGCTTGCAGTTTGGTGGCTTCGCTTGACGCCCAAGCGTCATTTCGGCTGGCTCAGAGTCGTTTGCAGTTGGCCATTGATCAGCAGCCTATTCACCAAAGCATCTGGAGGTTTAGTCCGTGTTTGTTGGCTGAAGCTGAAACATTGTCGTTGATGATCAATGCTCCACCTACCACACCTTCGCCCATCAAAGTCAAACAGTTGGAAGCCTCACAGAAGCAACAAACTTCGGGTGCTGGCACAGGGGAGAAGGGTAAGGGTGGCAATGCAGGGGTCTCTACAAACTCCACACCACGCCGGTATTTTCGGTCGGATGCTGGCTGCAAGGCTGGAAAGAACTGCAAATGGTCACACAGCTGGGAGGGCGTTGAGGACAAAAATGCCCGATGTTGGATTTGCGGCAGCAAAGAACACCGCAAAACAGAATGCCGTTTGAAGTCACAAGGAAAACCTTCCCCCGCCAAAGACTCCAAGGAGGGCAAGAACAGTGGTGAGCCCGGTTCGGGCTCAGGGGGAGGAAAAGGGGCTTCAAAATCATCATCCTCGTCCAACGTCACTGCAGCCAACCAAGCTCCCATCAAGGTGCAGGAGATGGAGGTGTGCTCTGATGGAGGAGGACAAGTACAAGATTCGCAGTCCAATGAAGGGGCATCAAAAGGGGGTGAGACTGGGGCAACCTCAACAACAAGTGAGGCCTTGTTGCAGGAAGCGACCAAGTTGCTGAAGTCCCTCCGTGTCCCACAACTGCGCGCCATCAAGATCAGCCAGTTCGAGCATGAAGCAGGTGACCTGGTGCTTTTGGACTCCGGTGCCACACATGCCCTACGACCAGCGAAGACCTGGCAGGAATGGCAAGAGGCAGCACCCACTCAGGTCACGTTAGCTGATGGCATTACATCCAAGCTTCGGTTGAAGCCTTCATCAAAGGTCCTGCTCTCGGACCCTCAGGACGAGGCGATGGGCAAGTCTTGGATTGTGCCTTTGGGTGGCATCGCCGAGCTGGGGTACAAGTTTGAATGGAAAGGAAGCCTATGTGGTCTCCGTGATGAAAGGGGCCAAGAACTCACAGCGACGGTTCAGCATGGGTGTCCAATGGTCACTCGGGCGGTGGGCCAAGAGATGATTGATCAGTTGGAGCAGCGCCAGACCCATGTCATCAAGAAGGCGTTGCTGGTGAAAGCGCTGTTGGAAAGTCCACAGAGCAGCGATTTGGCCTCTCTTCAAGACTCGACTGAGTTGGCCCTGACGGTGAAATTGAAGGCCCTGTTTCCATCCCTGCCCGATGAGATCCTGATGAGAATCATCCCTGACCTGACGTCACTACATCAGGGATTTGATGGACACCTTCTTCCATGGAATCGGCGGAAACGCCGTAGGCTGGACCGGGCAAAGCAGATCGTCCTGCACTTGTTTTCGGGTCCTGACACGGACTACTGGCAGAAGACCTTGCAGCGGGATGGTGTTGAAGTCTTGTGCATTGATTTGCAAGCCCCCATTGCAGCAGATCTTCATGATGATCATGTTTTCCGGTTCCTGCTGTCGTTGGCGGCTTCAGGCCGAGTGAAAGCCTTGGTGGGTGGGCCACCTTGCCGGACGGTGTCGGCGCTCCGATACCAAGACGATGGCGGTCCTGGCGTCCTGCGGACGGAACAACATCCGTATGGCCTGCCGACTTTGTCTCCTGCGGATGCGGAGCTGGTGAATGGAGACAGTGTGCTGCTCTTCCGAATGTTGGCCTTGTACGTCCTTTGCGAAGATGTTCGCCTCCCTCAGGAGCCCCAGACAGCCTTGGCCATCGAGCAGCCTGAAGACCCTGCCAAGTACCGCCCGGAAGAGGAGGTACGGCGGAAGCAATTCATGTCCATATGGCGCACCAAGGAGTGGCAAGATTTTGCCACGACCTACCAAGTCAAGTTGATCAATTTTGATCAAGGTCCAATGGGCCACATCAAGAAAAAGCCCACTTCGCTGGCCTTTGTCATGCGAGACCTTCAAGTGTTGAATGAAGTTCGAGGTCCGCCAAGTGGTGTCCAACCAGAAGATCCAGCTCCTGCTCGCAACCAAATGACCATGCAGGAGCGTTGCGCTGAGTCCAAACAATGGGCCGCATGGGCCCCGGGCTTGAAAGTTTCTTTAGTGTTGGCCTTGCAAGACCATCTCCATCGTGGCTCAACGCCGTCTTTGGAAGCTGCTCTTCGTCCGTTAGGCCAAGTGGCTTTGGATGGCTGGCGCCAGCACTATCTCAATGACCACATGCCAGCTAGACGCGATTGCAAACATTGCGTCAGGTCCGCTGCTCGCAGCAAGCCACACAAAAGGATTTCACACCCAGAAGCATACACCCTGAGTGTGGATCTCTCTGGCAAGATGGTGATCGGCCAAGACCAACATCGACAGGATTGCAAGTACATGATGGTGGCGGTCTACACCTTTCCGGTGGATGGATCTGGCCGCGCTTTGGCGGAGGTTGAATGTGGAGACATCGCACAACAGCCTCCATCCATTGATGCTGAAGAGTACACTCCTACCGAACCAGGCGGTGATGATCCTGGAGATGATATGCTGGGTGAAGAACCGCATGAGATTCCGGGGGAGGATGATGGAGAAAAAGATGGTGGGGCTGTAAAAAAGGGGCCTGAAGCCTTTGAAGCATGGCAAAAAACCATCGAGGAGGCCCAGGATGTCATGGTGCGAAATTTGACCTTCGTTGAGGTGCTCCCAGGCCGTGCGGTGAACCACATCTTGCCCGCCCTGGCGAAGATCTACGCCAAGTTACGGGGCCTAGGACTCCCTCCGTACAGGCTCCATTGCGACAGGGCAAGAGAGTTGATTTCAGCGCCGGTGCGTCGTTGGACTCTGGATCGGGGCATCACAACAACGCTGACATCCGGTGATAGTTACAACTCCAATGGCCGCGTTGAGGGTGAACTGGGGGTGGTTAAGAAGCATGTTCGCACAGTGCTCACCACTACAGGCCTTGGTCTTGAGATGTGGCCGCTTGCTGCAACCCACATCGGAGAACGTCAACTCCGAAGTCTGGGCTTCCCAATAGGCCCTCTGCTGAGATTTGGCTCCGGGGCCTACGCCCTGAAGAAATCATGGCAGGACCGTTACCAGCCATGGCGTGAAATCAGAGATGAGGTGGTGGTGCTTGGTCCCGCATTGCAGTCATCCATGACGACCACAAGTTACTATGTGCAATCCCTGGAGACAAAAAGGTTCTTCTACACGGATGATGTTGCGGTCCCCAATCCCAATCAACCTGAAGCCGAGGAGGCCCTGGTCCACCTTCCTGCGCTGTCTGATCCTCCAAGAAGACCAGCGTGGCAAGATGGAGTTCCTCGTCGACGGCTCACTGAAAAGACGGCAATCCCACAAGTCTCCATGTTATACATGGAAGGGGAGGATGCCTGGTGCCAAAACTGGCTCTGCAAACATCGGGAGTTGTTTGATGCTTGCAGTCCCAACAACCCGGAGCTCTTCCAGGTCGAGATCAGCAGTGACAGCTGGACCATCGAAACCCCTGAGCGGGAGGCCTCGTGTGAAGGGGGTTCCCAGGGTGCTGAAACTCAAAGCTCGGTTTCTATGGTGGAGGACTCGTCCGGAGGAGGGGAGAAGGAGGGGGCGCCTAACAACCAGTGCGGTGGCTCAAGCCTGGTGGCCCCAAAAGATGATGAAGCACCTGGGAACATTCCTCTCACGAGGGTCCAGTTCATCCGCTCCGTCCAGGCGAACTTGGCCACTTACATCGGTGAAGAGATTGGCCATCTGGACATCACGAACCCTGATCAAGGGTCATACATGGAGGTGTTGACAAATGCCGTCATGAACAAGGTCGAGCTAGAAGAGGTAACAACCATCTGCAAGAGCAGAAAGAGATGGAGGAAGAATTCTTGGTCGCCAAGACAGTGGCCGCTCGGGAAGTCCTGGATGATTTCGAAAACTGGACTCCATCAATCACGGCTGAGCACACCCAGCTGGTTACTACAAAAAGGGCAGTGGAGCAGATTACAAAAGAAGATCTTCATGATCGTGCTGCCCGTGAAGGCAAGACCATTGAATTGCTCCCTGCAAAGATGGTGTACACCAGAAAAGCTGGTACGGGTGCTCGCCGAGCCCGCGCCGTATGTTGCGGCAACTATTCTGAAACCCGCTTTGATGCTGATAGCTACGCGGGTGGTGCTGACGGTTGCCAAGTACGGGCCCTAGTGAGAACGGCATCTTTGAAAGGCTGGGCCATGGCAGCAACCGACATTCGTGTCGCCTTTTTGAATGCTCCTCGTCGGGAAGACGGAAAGCTGGTTGCAATGGAGATTCCATCCGTCTACCGGCGATTGGGACTTGCAAGAGAAGGGGAGGTTTGGTTGGTCAAATTGGCCATGTACGGCCTGACGACATCACCTCGTGACTGGTCACAGTATAGAGACACGAAGCTGCCTCAGATGTCATGGACCAGGCAAAAAGGGGATCGTGAAGTCCGGGGGAGTTTCTGCAAGACCGCTGATGAAAATCTCTGGCGGTTGGAGGAGGTGGATTCGATCTCTGGTGAACGAATTTGGTCAGGTTTGATGTCCGTGTACGTCGATGACATCCTGCTGACAGGTGAAGAGGGGATCATTTCAGCTGCTTTGGATGCTCTGCGAGCCACGTGGGCCACATCCAGCATCGAATGGGCTTCCAGCACAAATCCAGTTCACTTTTGTGGCTTTGAGATTGCCCCTGATGTTGATGGAGATGGGTACCACATCGCTCAGAATAAGTATGAGCAAGAAATCCTCGCCAGATGGCAAGTCACTCGCGCAGCTGCCTTCCCAAACTTCAAGGTCAGTGAGGCCGATGGAGAACAGCAGCCTGACATCGATCGCAACCAGATCAGGGAAGCACAAGCCTTGGCCGGATCACTTCTCTGGTTGTCAACAAGGTCAAGACCAGATTTGGCCTACGGCGTCGCAGCTTTGAGCAGGCTTGTCACCAGAAACCCTGGCAAAGCGATTGAAATTGGCCATGAACTCCTGGCTTACGTGAAGCACAAACCTGGAGATCTTCACTACCCCAGGTACATGCACAATCCATGGGGAGCCAGAAGCCAACTCAAAGTTCAGCGCCACGAAAAGCTGCTTGAAGTGTTTGCAGATATAGCTTATGGCACAGGCAACGGTCACAAGAGCATGCAAGGCCTGGTACTATGCTTTGCTGGTGCACCGGTGGCTTGGCAGAGTTCGACCCAACCTTTCGTATGTCATAGCACCGCAGAAGCAGAGCTGGTCTCCTACTGCGAGGCCTTGAATGCTGGAAGAGCCACAGAAGCTTTGTTATGTGCCATGTGGGGGGAGCAGCTCGCGGGCAACACTTTTGAAAGGGTGATCTATGGTGACAATGCTGCCGCAATAGGATTAGCCCACGGAAACTCCGCCACCTCTTGGCGGACGAGGCATCTGAGGGTCCGCTCCAATATCCTGAGAGAAGCTCTGGAGGGACAAAGCCTGTTTCCTGGTGGCCCTTGGAAGCTCATCCACTTGAAGGGCACGGAGCTCGTGGCAGACGGCATGACCAAGCCGCTAGTGGGTCAAAGCTTCACTGGATTCCAGCAGGACTTGGGCTTGCGAAGTGAAGTTCAAGTGAAGAGGATGATGGGTGGGGGACAGCTGCTCCAACCACAGTCTCAAGAACACCAGGTGGCTCTTCGGGCCTTGTTGGCCGGTGGTTTGCTAGTGCAGGCCGCAGAGGCGCATGGTGGTGCCGGCTCTGACGAGAGATTCGGCAACCTCTGGCTGTGCGGCCTAGTGCTGATAGTGATAGGGGCAATCTGGGTTGCGAGGACGATTTGCACTTCGGTGCATTGTTGCCTCCGTCGATTGCAATTGCTGTCCAGCAAGCTGCATGTTTCAGGGGATGAGCTGGAGTTTGAGGAAGGGGTCATAACCACACCATTGCCCTCAAGGCGACCAAGATCGAGGAGCTCTACTACAAGGAAGAAAGGGGTTGGTGAAGCTTCACCAACAGAAGACGAGGCTGATAATAGCCCCAACAGTGAAGAAGAAACCACCTTGGAAGCTCAAACCAAGAGTGGAGAAAGGGGTTTGAGATTGAGGAGCTCTATGGCCTGAACTATGGGGCAGAAGAAAGGTGGTGGGTCCAGCTCAAGTCGACCGCTGGATTTGCCAAGTGAGCGTGTGATCCAAGCAGCTTGCGCCGCTGCTGATGAGGCCGGGAAAGCCGCCGAGAGCGCTGAGATAGCAGCGCATGCAGCTGAACAAGCCGCCGAGCAGGCGATCGTGGCTGGACATGTCGCCGAGAAGGCGATGGTGGCATCCGAGCGCTTGCACCGCGCGGTGGTTCAGACCAGCCACCATGGAGGTCGGAAGAGGTCACCATCCCCGACCAATCCGTGGAACAAATTCCAGAAAGCGCATTCTGGAAAGGGCTGGTCCATCGAGAAGATGAGGGCCGAGTACTATAAGGCGAAAAGCCTTTTGACAAAGCCTTGAGCCTCCTTTTGGACTTTTCCGTCCGAATCTGTCAGAGCGACAGAGGGGGAGTCTGTGAATAGAGGTGTGAACACCTGAAGGCTTTTGTTCTCAAGTGAAGGAAAAAGGCCCGCTTGTGATCCTTTCAAGCCGAGAATCTATAAATGTTTATAATATAAATGATCGTATGATTCCAGTCTTAGCGCAAGGCAAAGCTATTATTAATCACTCTTCAATGGCCCACTAGTTCAGATGGCCACACTACCTGGGAAGCAACGGCAACGAACTGCAGCCAAGAGGCCCTGCGGCTTTTGGGCCGCTTTAAGCAATCCTAGGGACCTGAACTTGTCAGGCCCTTCGCTCTTTGTTTTTCTTTTAATGAAAAGCTTGTCAGGTTTGTCAGCAGAGAATATCTACCTTGGAATTGGGTGTTGTTCTTTGTGACTTGGAGAGGTAGTTTGGGATGATGCTCCTCAAGCAGTCGAGGCTGGACGAGAACTGTGCAAACACCTTGCTAGCCAAGTAAGGACAAGAAGATGGGTTAATGAGAGCGGGGTACAACTCAAGCTGGCTTGCGTTCATGAGTCAGGACCACAGACAGAGATAATAGAGCTGCAGGACATGAAACCTGCAAGCCGCGCTAGCCAGCAAAATAGAACAAGAAGCAAAGACCATGAAAAGAAGATCAAAGAAGGACACAAGAAACAATGGAAAGGACAATGTTTTTGCAACAGCACAAAAACTTGTATTCTGCCACACCAACATGACGTTCAACATGAGCATGGTGATTTCCGCATTCCTGGCTTGTTAACCACGGGCCAGGTCTCCTGGGATCAAGGCAGCTTGTGCGGCTGTTAAGTGGAGCAGAAGAAAAGTCCTTCGCAAGCATGATAGATGTGACATCATGCAGATTTTGTAACAGCATTCTTACATAGCTTTTGTATTCTCATAAGTTCTCGGCAGCCCTTCCGAAACTCTGGTTTCTCGAGACGCAGATGCAAAATGTTGTCACGGATTCACTTGCAAAGCTTTACGTTTCAGGCGAGCCACTCCCTGGACTGCGAGAGGCAATCAAGGGGATGTTTGTTCGATCACTCTCATTTATGACATCACAATACTGTGTACAATTTCTTGTCTTAGGAATAGAACATGAAAAAATAAAACAAAGATACTGATTAAAGAGAACAAACAATCGATAATAAGACTTGTTTTTTCCTTCTTTTTATGTAGAAAAAGTAAGAAGGGGGTTAAACCCATTCGTGTTACTTGAAGGTCATGACGCCGATCTGAGGCCTTGCATTCGCAAGGACCCCCTACGAAGCCACCTGTTGAAAGAATGAAAAAGATAGTTTCAGAATCTCAAAAATTGTTTATACACGGTTTCGAGCAATAGGTTCAATAATGTCCAGAATTCGTTGGATTTTGCAAAACGTTTTTCCAACCATGCACATGAATTTGCGCAATTTGAGCTTGCTATAAACTGTCTCAGACCTTGTGAGCTTGCCAAAGAGATCAGTTAAAGGTATGTGCAAACAAGTGTAAAAAAGACCGGGTTTTTGTTACACTTCATGAGAGACCGGAGACAAAATGCTTGACAGATCTTCAATCGTTTGTCTCAGTGGCCTTGTAGTCGAACGGAGCGTTGTTCTGTCGACATGCTATCAGTGTCCAATTCCGGAGTTCCCTTTAGTAGCTTCTTGCTCCTGGTAGCGATGGCCTCCAACCTACATGTCGTGCTTTGCTGATTTCTATGTGCCATAGCATGGATATGTTGTTGTTCTTGCCGAGGACATAACTCCCCATAGAGCAAACTAAACTAGAGCAAATGCGAAGTTCAAAAACTGGGTGAGGCGCTGCGAAGCGTCAACTCCGAGCACTTGGTCAAAAGCTTAGCACTAGAAGCTCACCGATGAACAGCTAAATTTGGGTGTAGACTTTTGCATGAATTTGGAGTTGTCCATGCACAAGCGTGAAACCTAAACCTGGCTAAGTCCCACAAGTGCTGGACTCCTTGTCCCAATCATGTTGTAAAGTCTTTGCTACTAGTGGCGTCCTTGCTCCTAGTAGTAAGGCCAGGAGCCCCTAGTAAAGTGTCCAGAGCCTGGTCCAAAGAGATGTCAAGGGACCACAAGGAGATTAACATCATTGCTAAATCATTGCGTTTCCATGCTAGAAGCTTGTTGTGAATGCATGAAAATTGTGCTTCGGATGGAACTTCAGAACACATAGAAAACCTTGCCAAATCATCGCGTTTACATGCGGGAACCTCGTTTTTGCACAACATGGCTAAATGACATGTCTAAATGATTGCGTTTACATGCAGGAACATTGTTTTGAATACAGAAGAACTGCGTTGGGGAAAACACACCAAAAACATTCACAAATCATCGCGCTTACATGCGGGAACAACGTTTTTGCAAGGACTATGCCTGGACCCCCGTCTTGGCGTCGCGTTTACATTGGGGAACACAAGTTTTTTCCTAGTGTGCCGTGACTTCCGCGGCTATATGTAGCAGCTTCTTGTTCCCAGTAGCGATGCCAGCAGCCCCTAGCCCTAGTAGCGTCCTTGCTTCTAGTAGCGATTCCCTTTGCTAGTAGCGTCCTTGCTCCTTACCTCCAAAGGTCGAATCTTGCTACAGAGAGGAGCTCGTTCAACATGTCGGGCAGCATTTTGGGTGGGCTACACTCAAGATTGATCAAGCCAGGTTCATTCGCAATTCCATTAACATATATCACATATATCTTCTTGAAAAGTGACATGTCTCAGCCGATCAGGCCAAGCGTGTCGAGGGCTGGGTAGAAGAAAGCGGCGCAGTCTCGGTGCAAGAGGCCAGAGATGTGAGTTGGCTGGAGCTCCAATTAGGGCCCCGCGAAAGGGCAATGAGCAATGTCAACTGGGCTAAGAAAGAAGCAATTGCTTCAAAAGAGTTGAAGATGAAATTCAATCTACAACCAACAACCTTAGCGTGAAGGATGATGAATCAAACATTGGCAGGTCATTGAAAATATCGAGATGTTATTGGATGAGGCTGGAGCCTGCAGTGCCCAACTAAACTGGGGTTCCATGTCCGAGTCTATATTTAGTTTTTGTCTGAAATTGTTTTGTCGGTAAGAAAGCCTTCTGAATAAATGGGAACAATGTTGAATCTTTGCAACCAAAAGGGTTGCTGGGTAGATCAGAGATCGGAGATATTGTCTTAAAGACTCGAATGAAAATGGAGCCTTTTCAAGTTGAAAAGGCTGCTTTGTACTCGTTTGCATCATCACTTTTACAGGGATAGATCCGTCAACTGAAACCAAATGTGGTGCATGAAATGGATTCAATCGAGCACTACTGCCAGTTGGGCTTAGATGCTGAAGATGCAAAGCGGCTGCAGCAGTTGCGGTGAAAATGCGAACATGGCATGCAAGCAGCTTGCAGCAGTTGCCAGCTGAAAGTAAAGCCCTTGTTGTGAGAGAAGGCACATGGGTTGAATTCAACAATCCCCAATTTCCACGAATTGAGAGAGCACGGTGTTTCGCTAGCTGGTAGCTTCCGTTCTGGTCACTCCAACTTTGTGCAAAGAAGCATTCCAGACAGGTACTGAATGTTTGTTTTAGCCGCCAATAATTTCAAACCATAAAGATGCTGTGAACATTATAACGTCCAGCAAGTTCCAGAGGCCTCTTCCCTTCGATCAGACGCCTTCGACTGGTTGGCATGGCCTTCGCAATTCTTCTTGTTTGATCGACACCGCCAAGCATGGCATACTGGAGCTTCCTTCCCAAGGGTATTGGATCTACTTGTCCTATTCCAATGCACCAAGTGAAGAAGGTCTGCCAGATCATTGTCAGATCAGCCATTGAGGTCAGAGCTGCTTCCGGTTAAATAGATTTCTCCAAGGCTGATTCAGAGAACCCTTCCATGGCTGGTTTCATGTTGAAAAAGGAAGCAAGATCGAGAACAAATATGTGTGCAAGTTCAAAAGCACTCGGAAAGATGCAACAGCTGCTTCGCAAGCAAGTAAGTGTTCTTCATCTTGCTACTTCATCATCCGGCTCTAGGCTTTGAATCCGAGCGAAAAATGTCAACTATGAAATGGGTGTGCTTGAGGCCACTATAAAGCGGTCATTTCATAGTGAGCGCAAAGAATGACATTGGGCAGAGCATTCTGTAGAGGCGTTTTGTAGCAACGTTCCAAACATTTGTCGTAGAGTAATGTAAAAGCAGAAGAGGTTTCGGTGACCTTGGAGAAACCATTTTGTGGTACTGCAAATTGAAGATGATATCGATGTTCAACTAACCTGGAAGAGCGAATTTGTAGTAAATATTGCAAATCCAACACATCGTGCAATCCAGGCCAATAATGCATTTTCTGGAACCTTGAGTTCAGGAAATTACAACCCCTGTGATCTGAATCACGGCCCAGTATCTTCTTTCAGAGACGTGTGCCATATAGAGTCTAACCCGGATGCATCGGATATCTCTTTGGTAGCCTTCTGCTGGGGAAGGATACTGATACTGCTTTCGAGCCAAAACATGTTCACCCTGGTTGCTCTAAATAGGATTTAGTTTTGTGAGCCCAAGCTTCAGAGTTGACCAGTGACCAGTGGGTTCACAAAACATCGCTACAAATACTGTTTCAACTGGGAGGTGGTTGGCTTGGCAGCTAATTCATGCTTGAGTTGTCACGATAGAAGATTTGCGAAATCACAAGGTAGCTATGGATGAGCTCAGAAGTCTAATGTTGCTGTGGGCATTGAGCTACAGATGCCTGTTCTAATCAAGAACCTTTGGTTTCTCTTGCAGTTCCTTGTTGGCCTGCTCTAGGAAATGTATGGAAGTGTTGTACGGTTCTTTTTTCGTTCGTTTCTTGCACTGAGTGTTGGACAAAGAGCAACTGCCAGATAGTTTCAAAGCATCGACCATAAGGAGCCTGTACACATGTGTCGTCATGTGTCGCCTGTCCGTGACCGTCCTTGCGCTCATAACAAACAAGCTCCGAAGCCGACAGAGTCGCAATGAACTTTGAACTCTTAGTCGCGACAAAGACTACGTTTGAATGGGTTGGCTCGCCTAATCCCTGCTATATAATCTAAAGCACAGACAAACTGTACAGTACCAGTGATGGCAGAAAAACAAGTTATAACTTGCTGGCAGAACAACCACAAGTTGTAACTTGCTCAGCAGCTCCATCTGGTCAAGGGTGAAGGCTATGACTTGAGGGGTGTTCAAAACGATACCCACGCACACGCAAACCAGAATCGTATACTTAACTATTCCTTAATCATAGAAAACTATTCCTTCACTATGTCTTACTGATCCATCGGTCTACTGTATCCATTATTTTTTGTGAACAAAATCATAGAAAATAGATTCCATTCTCAAAGCTGCTTGGACATGAGCACCTATCCAAGTCCCTTCTCGTGCCTCTTCGATAAACCTTGATAAACGCTTTCTTTGAGCCTCAATGATTTTGGCTTTGCGCTACAGAACCTCATCAATCCCACTGTAGTGCTTTTGCTGTAGTGCTTCTCAAATTCCTTGTAACAGATATTGGACGTTCCCTGCAGTCAATATGGAGAAAGGATGCTACAGGAGCAAAGGGCATCGGTACTAGGAGCAAGGATGCTACTAGGAACAAGTGCATCGCTACTATATGTCAAAGACTTGAGGAGACATTTCAATAGCGTGCTTGCTCCTAGTAGCGATGCCAGGAGCCCCTAGTAGCGTCCTTGCTCCTGGTAGCGTTGCCAGTAGCGTCCTTGCTCCTAGTGAATCATTCTTGGACTACAGCTGGGCATGTTCTACCCGCCCGAAGACGATTCGTTCGGCACTTTGTGCAGCTGGCTCAACACAGAGCACTCCATGGCGGTGCATTTCTCTGTGTCGACCATCACAGGGGTAACCTATGACATCTTTTGCACGAAGGAGGACACGGTGCAAAGCATTCGTGAGCAGCTGGAAGAACATCATATTGAGGCGCTAACCGCTAGCACAACATCTGGTGAGCTGCGTCGAATGTATGCATCATTGGTACATTATTCGTTGCTTAGGAAAGATTGCACCCCACCCCTTTCAAGAATAACACTGTCTTCCAAAACATCTAGGTTGCACAGCACCAAGACGTTACATGAGAAGCGAGCAATACCACGAAAGTCTAAAGCCCGATGACTCACCCCATCGACTTCCAACAGAATCTTTGCTGAATGCACTTCCAAGTCTTTCACACCGGCGCAAGAAGTTTCATGGCACCAACAGTCAAGCCACCACAACAATGAGCGTGACAGAAACATCACCAAAATTAGGGTAACCTTCGAGATGTCAAATTAGCCCTCAAGGCATAGTCTTGACCCATCGAAGCATGAATCATGAAGTGTCACCAGGGGTGAGAGCTACTAGGAGCCAAGGGCATCGCTACTAGGAGCAAGGATGTTACTAGGGGCTCCTGGCCTTACTACTAGGAACAAGAACGCTACTAGTAGCAAAGGGCATCGCTACTAGGAGCAACAACGAATACTCTGTGCTCTTTGTGCCGGACAGGTGCCCCCCGCCAGCTTTTTGAAGCTCTTTCATGGGCCTCAGGTGACTCAAAAATATGAGAAGAATTGGGCAGTATTGATGCTCAGCCGTGCGGAGTGGGACTATATACGTGCGTTGGGTGGTGATTAACTCCGTCAAAAACTCCGTTCAACCATCGGAACGACTTTGCTGAATGGAGTAGCAATATGGTGACGAATCACGCTGCAAGGTTTTTTATTAGAGGATGTTTAAGCAAAACTGCCACGGACAATGGGCTGCAATCAACTCCACACTCGTAGAACAAACCAGGTCCAGGTTTTATCTTCCGTAGATAGAAGGACTCAGAAGCAGAGCAGGTACTGTGTAATTAGTATGTTGTTCTACATTATCCGTGGATGTGTTCTTACAATCAAGGCAGGATCTTCACTCGGCTAGCAATTTCTCCAAACAAAGACCCATCACAGCAACAAGAAAGTGCTATTAGGTTGGAGGCCATCGCCATTAGGTTGGAAGCCATCGTTCTTAGGTTGGAGGCCATCTCTGTTCGGCCAAGATGAACCCCCTTATTGCATAGGGAGCTTCCGTGTGTGTGCCTCAGGTGTTGTGTGACCAAATCTCCGTCACGGAACTGGACCCATCACAGCCCATATTTGCCGTGGTCGCTCGGGAGACCAAAGTCGAGATCCTTCTCCAAGCTGCAGGAGACTCGAAAGACCAAATGACGAAAGTGTCCTCATACTAAAATATAATATACTATATAACATAATTTTAAAAAAATGATGTCCTAGCTGCAAGCATAGATCGCTGAGCCTTGAAGAACAGAGCTGATCTTTGGACTGGTGTCAGCTTTCCTTGTTTTTTCCAATTTTTACTTATATAGATCTCTATAGAGAGACCTTTTTTTCTTCCTTCCTTTTCTTCTTTATGTTGGTACCACCCAGCATGTTCATGTTTTTGAAGGAGCCGACAGATTCAGCTCCCCATGCCAGGGGTCATTGTCCGTATGTACATGATGTTTAGTATTCGCGCCAGAATATGTAAGGTGTGCTAATCTGAAAATCCAAGTTGTGGGTTGCATGGAGGTTCTTTGTGTTCGCAGGTTCGTATCAAGGGTACAAAGACCTGATCAAAGCTGCTCCAAGCTCACCTGAAGGCGCTCGAGTGTCGGGAGCTATCGGATTCGGAAAAAGCTGGGAGTAGCTAGACACCACCCGTTTATGATCAAGAAGCTACTAGGGGCTCCTGGCATCGCTGCTAGGAGCAAGGACGCTACTAGGGGCTCCTGGCCTTACCAGTTATACCGTTGAGATATTCAGCAAGATGTGACTCCAAAATTCCAAAGCATTGAGACATGATGCTTGAGTGTTTTATGCTGGAGCCCTACATGTCAGGAGAAAATATCAAGGTCATGAAGGGTCTCCCATCCATTCTGGCCGTGCTCGAGGAGACCAGGGTTGCAATGAGCATGCTTCCGCCGCCTTGCCCATTCTGCAGTTGAGCTGGCCCATTGTGTACAGCATTGGCAGGAAAAACATCTCGTTTGTTGAGGTCACACAGTTTGCAAGCTTGAAGCAAGCCCTATGCAGCTACTTGTGTGGCTGAAAGTTGCAATTCCCTGTTTTTCAAGTAAATGGCAGCTGCTTGATACGTGGCTGCAAGCCAGGCACCCCACTTTCCAGATGCAAGTGACCGCCTTGGACTACGTAGGTTCATTAGAGAAGGAAAGGGTTTAACATATTGAAAAGTGCACAAAGATTCGAAGTGCCAATCTTTCGGAGGACATGGGCGGGCAGCAGCCAGATGTGAAGGATCTTCGACAAGGTGAGCATGGCGAATTGCTCATGACAGGCGAGCTTGGACATTTGCTGTTCCTGGGCAGATTCCTTTTCTGTGGGGCAATGTCTAGGATCTTCCGTGATACGCATGCATATGTCTATCTCGTGCAAATCTCTTTTCTCGATTTGTACTGTGCTCTTCTTCAAGCATTTATGGAAAGATATTTCAGTGCTCGAAGCTAAATGGGGGAATCACAGCCGAGATTCAAAATCTGAGGTTGCCAAGCCTCAGTGTTGAAGCACTGCAACCTCCATCAGCTGACACAGCTGCGGAAGCAAGCGGTCAACGAGAGCTTCAACGAGAACTTCAACCATTCACCAAAGTGATTTTTTCAGTTCAGCTCAACTCCGATGCATACAACCAAGGCAAGCACCTTAGAAGGTTCAGCTTGTGACAATCTTCAGCCTTGTCACAATGTTTGCTTTTTGCCGACCTCCCCCCTCCCTACTTAATTATCTTAATTCAGTAGGCGCCTACTTAATTAAGCAAGGAAGTAAACCCTTAGGCTAAGTTAGCTACTACATATACTACATATGGACACAGGATAGGTCACGCTATATAATGGTTTGCTTTCTGGATTTTTGGGAAACATGTATCCATGCAGATTTCTGGTTTGACCAACAACAGGTACCTGGGCAAACACAGCGCAATCAGGTACTATAGAGGCCAAAGTAGAGGCTAAGAGCATCTCTGGAGATCAACATGCAACAGCAACCTCTTGTGGAATCCTTGAGTCTTGCCACAGGCAATGCTACACACCACCAAATTCCTTTTTGTTTGTTCTGTTTTGCACGAGCTTGCGGCGTTGTGTGGTGCCGTATGCACATCTGCACGGAGCTCGGCAGGTCTTGGGATTGTTTTGGAACAGCCTCCGTCCATGCAGTGTGCCTTGGGACACGTTGAAGCTGATGAAGATCCTTGAAAATTGATTCAACAAGCGTAGTCATACAATCCCAAGCAAGGCTTTGCATGCCGGCACGCCCGTGTGCTCCTCAGGCGAAATGGATCGCAATGGCATTCCAACGTATATCTACAATGGGTGGGGGTTGTCGAAAGACAAGAATTCAAATGCAATCAAGTGTCTTGGATGTCAACGAAAACGAGCTCGAAACCTGCTCAGCTGAAGCCTTTAATCCGTTGACTATGCAGAGAATCTAGTTTGTCATGGAGCTCTGATTGCTTCGATATCCAGTTGAGGTAGATAGGCTCAGCCGGTCACGACACCGTCAAGTAGATCCGCGAATCCCTACCGATCACTGAAGATTGTTGCAGTCATTACAGATCGCCGCAGCTCATGAGGGGCAACATCAAATCACCAGAAAGAACTATGGGTGCCACAACCACCAAAGCTTGAGTGCACACCTCCAGAAAAAGGCTTGGGCCACCAGAGCAAACTGCTGGGGTACGATGCCTCAAGGCCGCTGTGGGTGGTAGATATAGATGAAAGTCTTTCTGAAACACAGTGGGGAGGGGGACACTTGGAAGTGAAGTGCTCAAAAAATGGGTCGTCGATGTGGACATTAGTTTCGTGCCGTTTGCACGCGCCCATTAACTTTCCCAATTGCCGCCGCGCTCTTTCACTTCCAGCGACAGGTCTTCGCCAAGTGCACAGGGAACTCTTGTCATGTCACATCGCCACCTGCCCTCATGTTCTTCCTTCACAGCCTCTGGTAGACGCGGCGTTCCAGCATTGTATTCATACAGCTGACACCTTTCTCTTTGGCTCTCATCACTTGCTTTGGCATGAAGCGTTTCAATCAGCCATCAATGCACTGTGTTGCCTGCAACCTGTATTCTTGTCTTGTGTGGGAGCTTGAACGGACCAAGTGAGAGGCCAACGATCCCAGGTGCAGCACAAGGTGAAGTCCAAAACGGGATCTCGAGGAAAGAAGACCAGACAGGGTCAGACAGAGGAGGGACACGGGCCAAACAAAAGAGACAGCAACACGTCAACGGAGAGTCTCATGGGGAAAGAGATGAAAAAAGCTGCGAGCCAATGTGGATCCGTCCGTAACCGAGGTTCCATCCTGGAATGGAAAGAGGAGCAGCGCAGGGCAATTGGATTCTGAAGACTGGAGCAACTTCTGACCACATTTCAATAGCGTCCTTGTTCCTATAGTAGCAAGGCCAGGAGCCCCTACACGTCCTTGCTCCCAGTAGGGATGCCAGGAGCCCCTAGTAGCTTCTTGCTCCTGGTAGTAAGGCCAGGAGCCCCTAGTAGCGTGTAGAGGCAGTAAGATGCAAGTAATTGTGCCATGTACGTGTAGGTTGTGTAGGTTGGCCCGTGGTGTGCCTAACATGTTTTTCCTCATGCCCAATGACAGCTCAAAGCCTGCCTGTAAATGATTGTGCTTATGTAGATTTGGCTTGGGTTCAAGTTCCCGCTCCTTTCCTTTCCAGAACTGTGAGATCCCCTTGGGGCCAGGGCAGTTGTATCATTTATAAATTTATCTGAGAACGGGCATCCCTAGATTGCCAGTGAAAGAATGCATAGTTCTAGTTGGCTGCCACTTGGCTCAATAACTTAAGGTTCCTTAAATCCTGGTCCTGTGTGGTATTGCTGTTTTGTTGGCTCGTGCACCTCTCATGGCTGCATCAAAAATGGGAATTGGAAGAGGGCACGGAAGATATGACCATAACAGATGGCCAGGAAAATGTGAACCATTCATAGATTCAACTTTGGGGACCTCGCATTCGTCACGCATATAACCCCCAAACAAGGGCTGCTCCACACTGAATGAGGCCAACAGCCAAATGCAGATTCAAGACCTGTGAGGAGAGCTAAGAGTTGAAGGTCCAGGTGGTTTTCCCAACTCCGACATGGGTCGCTTGGTCGGGTGTTTGAATGTCCGGCTGTGGAGCTTTTCTGGATTTGCGCTTTTGTTTTGGACTACTTGATTGTAATTGTTTTGGACATCTTGCACTCCTTGCAAGCTTTTGGCCTCAAGGCTTTACACCACAGAACTGGACGCAGAGCAATTCCTTCCATACTTTCCAGGCTGGTACAGCTTCCGGAACAGAAGCGTCTTTATTTCAAGTAGGAGGGCATTGTGATTTTCCATTTTTTGCATTCACTTGAATGAGTTTGAAGATCGGTGTAGCTTTATGACAAACGACATTGTCACGCGGTGCTTGAATCCATGGTCATTGAGGGGGGTTATGTTGCAACCATAAGCTTCCTTTGCAGCTTTCATGACCCAAGTGACTGGACAGGTGACCATTGGGACAGATGGCAGGAATCAGTTGAAGGTCACTGGGACCAGAGGCCCAAACGCAGAAGACATACCGGTCACTCGAGACCTCAGCTTCACATCAAAAGATAGATACTTGATGAGCGTGTGGAAATCTTCGGAACTTGATGAACTCACTTGGTCAGGCGAGGTCTTTGAAGCGGTGTGGCGGAACAAGTTGACGGACGGAGTATTCATGCCTGCTTTGCACGCGTGGCTGGACAGTGGCGGCGGGCCGCTCCTTATCGGTGACATTGTGGCAGAGATTCATTTCCCTGCAGCATAGCCTTTTTGCAGATGCCTTTCTTGCACTGAACATAGCTGCTTATTCAAGAAGGTGCAGAGGCCAGCAACGCTCAAGTCTGGAAGAACGACGATGATTTGATGAGGGATGGATGATTGTGAAACATGGCGCAACTTGTTCTCCGCAACAGGACTCACAGGCATTTTCCCTTGCAGTCTCCAGATGTCCAACGATTGATCAAGAGAATCTTGATCAAAAGAGAATCATTTCATAGTCACAGTCAAATCACCACAAAAACCCTGCATTGTTTCATGGCTCCTTGCCTTGCGAGTAGTGCTATTTGTCAATTCTGAATCGCATTTGCCGAATCAGAAGGAAATCAAAATACCAGGATTTAAAGTAATATCCATTATATAAAAATTAATTTAGTATTGAAAATATATATATTTAAAATATTTTATATATATTTTCTATAATGTAGAAATTGTTATAAATATAACAAATATATTAATAATAAAAATTTAATATAAATAAATATTATATATATATATATATCTATTTATTTCTAGCGGCAAGAAAAATTTTTGGGCGGACATTTTCTGAGTATTTATATATTTTATGTTTTTTTAAAATGGTTGAGATGTTTAGGTAAATCGATTATTGAGTTGAGTAGTTTATTAAAATTTTTTGGTTGGATGGATAAGGATTTATTTTAGAGATTAATGATGTATTTCTTCGGGATAATTTAAATGAGGTAGGGTAGATTGAAATAGTTATTTTCGATATGTTATTTATAGATTAAGAAAGGGAGTATTGGGCGCGGTTGTTTTTTTTTGTTTTCGTGGTATGTATTACTAGTGATTTTTCGTAATATGTTTTTTTTTTTTAATCGATTTGTAAAATTTGGTCTTAAATTTAGGTGGGAGTCGTTTTTTTTGTTTATCTCGGGCACGAGGATTATTTTTTTAGCTTTAGGAGAGGACGAGAGTTCGGCTTCTTTTTTGTTTATTACGATCGTCGGGCGAAATATTATGAGGTATGGGTAATAATTGGCTTAGATATAATCGATTGAAATGGTCGTATATTAGGATTTATTTTTGGATATAGGTCCGTAGGATTTATATACGGTCTTTCCGATATTGATTTTTTTCCGAGTGTTTTAATGGAACGTATTTAGATTTTTGTATTATATTAGTTGGATCGATTTGGGTAATCGATTTTTATTCGACATTATTATTGCATAGGAGATCGGGTGGAGTACCTCTTTAATGGCATGTAATGAATGGGGCAGATAAATATGGCTTTGTCTTTGTAATGATTCGTGTTGCGGTGATTTTGAAAGAGATTATTTCGGTTATACATTATATACCCGGCATAAATTAGATTGTAATTATATCGTCTTTACGATATATACGTTGTATATTAACATGCATGGCATTTAGATGGAAATCTTTCGTAATTGTTGAATAAATGCAAATGAATTTGGACATATTTTCGAGATTGCATTAAATATATATTTATATATAATCTTCTTTTATTAGGAGGGAATTATAATATATGATTTGATATTAATGATTCGCATGTTTTTATATAGGATATTAAATATACCAAAACCTCTTAGACCGATCGAGCCCTGTTCTAAACACTTGTTTAGGACTACAATTTGATTGTTGTTTATACACGGATGTTTCATCCTATTTTTGGATATGGTGACTATAATATCCGGATTGATTTTACACTTATATGAAAGGAGTAGATCTCCTAGTGCATCTTGCAATCGAAGTATTATCTCGACTTTGACTTTTTGTTTGGCAATTAAGGCTCGAAACATTATTTTCTGAGTTTGTATTGTTTAAATGGTTTTTAATTCCCAATCCTAAAAACCAAGAGGGTATAAATCGATTCCGCCTTCGTTAGGCCTGGACCTAGGACGCACTGCAGTGGGCCCATTTCTTCACTTAGGCACGTCATCCTAGCACAAGGATCTTTATTGTCACCGATTAATCGTAATCTGATCTTGGAAAGAAGTCTTATCCAGATATGTACAAATTATTTTCCGTCGGTCCGACGGTAGGCACCGCTGGATCTTGCTTTTCGATCTTTCATTGCCTAGATGTATGAAATCCGTGTTTTAGGGTTAATTTAATTTGATTAGATACCGTACTCTACACAAACAAATCAAGCAATACAGCAGGACCAATAAACGGACCAGACTTGAAGTCTTTCTTTGCCAAGTAGCTTAAGTCGATGGGGCAGTTCTCTTGTGTTGGTTGGAATGCATTCTTCCGTGGGACATAATGATTTCTGATCAGCCAGTTTCCTTCTAATGCCCATTCATCGGTAGGAGCATCAAGGAATAGCCAACATCAAGGAATAGCCAACCATCTTCAACATGCCAGCTTGGAGGGAGATCTGTGGCCTGCTGAAGATCAATCTCGATCTGCATCTCAATCTCCTCAGGCAATGGTTCATACGGAGATGCCCTCGATGATTCTGATCGGATAGGTCCGTATGTCCAAGGCTTCTGTAGAAACGACAAGGTCTTTTGCTTGTCAACCCGGGTTCTCTGAGTCTTGAAGTCTTCTGGTTCGTGGGGACCTTCGTATAGCCTCTTCTGATGGGCTAGTACTTCAGATACTTCCCCAGGAGGTGGGATCTCTTCTTGCTTTGGCTCGGGTTTCGACCCTTCTTGTGTGGTTGGTCTTTCAACTGCTCGCTCAGTCATCCCAGTTGTTGGTGCAGGCGAAGTTGTGGGGCCACCCTCTATTGATGCTTCTGGTGGGACATTCTTTTGCTCTTCTCCAGGATCCTCGGGATCTGGTGGTTCTGGTTCTTGGAGGATTTCTTGAATCACCTCATCAGGGTCGGAGTCATGCTCTCCTTCAATGGTGAAGGTGGTTGTCCCGGTCCAGGTGTAATACAAGGATTTCCCAGTATCAATCCTCCGCCATTCATCTCGTAGTTGGACTCGTGATGGATGAGGTGGTAGCCTTCTCACGGTGATGACCCTTTCATCATTGAATCGATACATTGGGATGTCAGCATTTGTGTCTGGGATATAGAGCTCTCGCCTTGGGCAGTTGTGAATCCGAATCCAGACCTTTTAGTCATCGCTCACTTGCCAGACATCTTGAAGTCCTGCTGGCTCGTCGGGCTCCAATTCATCTTGGTCATATTCTTCTTCTTCGTTTCCACTCGACACTTCATGTCGTTGCCTCTTGTTGCTCTTGGTGAGGTCAGTGTACAAAGTCGTCCCTCGGCCCCTGATTCCTTGCAGTGCTTGTTGAGC